ATAGATAGCTAAATCTAAGACATGTTAAAAACAGTGTGAAAGTACAGAAAATACTGACAGAATTAAAACCATCCTCATCATCATTATCATTATCAATGTTACTAAAGGATTATTATCAAGTCCGATTCCAAAAGTTGATGAAATGTTGTAAATAAGACTCTACATGTTAGGAAATAGTCAGTTTTCGTCATGTTCATGTAGCGGCCATAAAATTTCCGAGTCCTGTGATGGGATTCGAACCACGGACCTTCTGATCAGAGGTCGGACGCCTTGTCCACATGACCAAAGAGGTTAACCCCGTCAGCAAGCTGACAAGGTAAGGATGTCATCTGTGGGATGACTCCACGCCCTGCTACATTCGCAATATTAATCCCTTGTTGCGAATTATTTTTATCATGACCATCCTTGTCATCAACAACATCATCACCTTCAATGCCCAAATCTCTCACCTGTACCATGTACCATCCCAAACTCTCCTGGATCAAAGCTAGTTTACATATGGGCTAGCATTGCTATATTTACAAGACAACAGTCAGCTAAACATGGTCTTCAGTTTAAATAGTGGTCAAAGACCCAGTATCTACTGACAGCGTGGCTGACATCATCTTCAGCAAAAACCTTACAAACAACTGTCAACCACTGAAAACTATTTAAATCATGAAAATACTCATGTTTACATACTTGAGACCTATATTTACATGTAAGGCAGGGATTTGTGCACTGAGTCAATATGTACACATATTTAGCCACTTATTTATAGAAATGTCCATGCATAGTTTTGTGAGTGAGTTCCTCCACTTGTTTCTATATAATCAGCCTGTACTATTGTTTCAGTCAGTCAAGCTACTGAAAGGTGTAGTGTCCATCCTATTTCAGACTACCGTATTCGACGTAATAAGCGCCCAGGGCGCTCTCAAAATTAGAAATAGGGGGCTCCTACTAGGATATTATTTTGGTGAAAAAAACTGAGTTGAAAAATAAATATCGTTATTTATGCTGAAATGTTTATGTACAACAGATATATTTTTCCATAATTCAATTACCCATAATTAAGGGTGCATATAACACATGAGTGCTTATCATACGCGAATAAATAAGTCTTGTGTACATTGATCAATCGGAAGGGGTGCTAATTGGGATTGTTCACTAGCCAATATCTTAGCAAATGTTACCGTGAGCGCTTATTAGAGCGGGGCGCTTATTACATCGAATACGGTATTTGCTTGATTATTTTCTCTTGATCAGTAAGTGTCCCTTGTCTATCATCATTCCCTGTGGTAAAAATACAATATACTTTCGGAGTTGTCACACAGTACAAATAAAGGCGTTAATTTCATTGGCATTCATTTCATTCACATACTGATGTAACACATGGGAAAAGGTGACATGTATATTACAACAAAAACTAAGCTGTCATCCCCTCATATGATCACATTGTTAACATTTTCGCATTTTGTTGCAGTTTAACATGTTGATGTTGGAAAGTTGTTATTAAATTTTAAATATTTATGAGATGCTAAAATGCTTACTCGTGCAATTTGTAATTTACAGTGGAACAGGAAGATTCAGGCACGGTTTATTGATTATTGTATAAAGCTCGGCACCACGTACTGCTCATTGTCATTGATTCATGATGTGTGGACCATATGCCTTATATGACATGAACAATATTTTATAAAAAGGTTGTATCAAAGGAAATATTCACGAGGGGCAAAGGGAGCTAATCCTTTATTGAATCTCAATATTACTATCAGCAATCATTTATCAATTATTACCCATAAGAACATTACCTTAAGATTAGCAGTAAAGAATACAAAAGATACAATCATTTCAAGATTCTGTTTCTGATGGTTTCTATCTTCAGCTTACAAACAGACCTTGTGTGAATGCCTGAAAATCAACAGCTATTTTCAAAAACAAGAACTTTGTAAATATATTGTTTGACTCTGAGAGCTCAATTGAAAGAAAGACATTCTTTTTGATTGTACTTTTTCAGAATGCATATTCATCTGATGACAACAACCTAATCTGTCAACTGAGTAAGCTTGAGTAATTGTCATGGTTGAAAGACACACCAAAATAGACAACCTTACACACAATGATAAATTAAGCAATTGCTATTGACCTAAATTCACAGGTATACACACACTGATTATCAATTGCAATCCTCACTAATTGGTAATTGCTCCCACGGAGCCCAAATTGCTAATTTCATACATAACATGATAATTAAATGCTTATCAGCTGGTACCTCATTATCTACTACCTGCGAATGCACTAAATTGCATAAGCATTTAGTGTGTGTGATAAACTAATTATGCTTGGAGAATATACTGAGAATGAAACTCTTTTTTCCAGTGTGCAACACAATCTTTGTTCATAACAATAGGCATAGAAGAAACACAGGTAGGACATTGAACTCATTACGATTGTACCTCTTACATTGTTATTGTGGGATAATAATAACAAACATAACATACATAAATTACAATGCTTCAGACAGGTTTGAGACAGGAATATACTGTTCATGTGTACACAATAAAATCATTTTTTCGATGTACATTTCTGTTAAACTGAAATGTACATGCGACATGACCCGATCTGTCAACCGCGAAGAATGGGGCGATATTGGCACCAACTCCGCCCAACGTTTGTCTATGAAAGGGAGCACCAATGCCTAGGTCAAGATCGTCACTGTAAGAAATGACTATGGACACGGCCGTGATACCTCTAGTTTCACACCATACCCCAAAACACAACAATGTGCATAGTGGTTGTCCTACTGTTCGCTAGTGGGTGGTTGACGAGGCTGGTTGGCAAGTGGATGAGAGAGAATGCTGGAGGGATTCGGCAATGCCTTGCTGGCTATAAATCGGTCGTTGGGGTGATCAGAGGAAATGTAGACCCTTCCTTACCTTTCAGCCATCGTTGGCACCTAGTTGAGGCAGGTAGTCCAATATAAGAATAGATAGAATGTCTATTTGACATAGTTCGGAAATCCAAAACACACCGAGACCGCCATATTGGCGTACCGAGATATGTACTATTTACAGGTCAACTATTTCTGTAATTAATCTTCTGATAAAACTGTGTTTGTATGTTATTTACTAATACTGTGTACAACACGTTTATCCGATTAACATCCCTAACACATTGTATGGTTTCCAACCAAACAAAATCGGTTATTGTTCAAATTGTTACAGCCAAAACAAGAATTATATCAGGGGAATTTTTCCTCCGTATTCTACAAACGTTTCCTGAGCTTCAGGAGTTACCGGCCTTTAATATACATGCTCAAGGAAGGTTGTAAAGCTTGGTGTGTTAAGCATGATAATGCATAAGAAAGCAATTTACAGTGTGAATAAACAACAAAATTTGCAAACATCTTTCCGCATTCACAGGTGCAATAATCAACACGTTACGCGAACTTTGTTTCAAAACAAATATGAAACCAAAAGTACTTTTCAATGTTGACGCTTATGCATCCCGCTTTTGTGGGCGGGTGAGGGAATATAATCGATACTGAAACACAATGTTTGAAGTTCAAACAAAGAAATAATGTTCAAGTATAAACACCATTAATTATATATCCGTGTGGTAGACAATTTCCTACAGGGTTCGCGTGTCTTTGAACAGTAAAATGACAAGTCATTTTATCCACGACTCAACTGATACAATGCTGTTTTTTTGGGTTTTTCATGCACAAGTTTTGGGTTAATTTGGTACAGTGGTGATTAGGTCTCATCGAAAATAAAACAACCCTTGACACATAATAATAGTGACCGTAAACAAATATCGTGCTTAAAACGTTTGTTCTTTTTAATGATTGTACGTTCACTAACACCAATGTAAATCTTGGGGATTAACGTAGATTATAATAAGAAACCGACCAATGATGTTTCAATGTTTTTACGGTTACACGTTTTCTGAGATGATATCCCGAAATCTTACCCCTCCTTTTCGGAGTTTCGGGTTTGAAGCCATATGTTTGACATTGTGGTTTACCTTCATCACCGTTTGCACATAGAGCTACACACATGTCAAACAATTATGTGTATATGTACAACAATGTCCAACAAAAAGCGAGATATATTCAATATTCGAATACTATTTCTTGGGTTAATGTTCTTTGATTATTTATCAGTTTGTGTTGGATTTAATGTTGTATGAGCTCACCTATTTACCATGAATTAACGTTCACCAACAAGCGTGACGTTTTTTGTGAACACTGTTATCCCCATCTGCATTCCGTACCTAGATCGTAATGATGCATGTATATTAACGCTGCAGTGGATCCCTAAATGAGAGCGGACGGCTCCCTGCTCCCGTGACCTGCATGCGACAGTGTAATGATAAGAAAAAGCAAACAGCATGTAACATGTGTTCGCGTCTTATTCCAAGGAATCTATTTTAACTGATACCCAAACTGACCTCGTGGATCTCTGATATATTCTGACAGATTATGGTACTGATATACTAATTTGGTGTTCTGTGCATGTGAAAATAAATACGTATGAAAATAGCAAATTATTTTGCAGATTTATCATCACTACTTCAAGCTGACCAGCCTATGATTTTAAAGCAGAAATCGTAGACATATGTTAGTGGTCTTTGTTCAGTATACTTTTTGTTGTTGTCTAGAACCTTATATACTTTCACACTCTATGTTTATGTAATATTTTCAGGTTGGTCTCTGAAGTACCGCTATGATATTTATATCCCTTCCTGAGTGGTAAACTATGCTTGTTTACGAACTAGGTCTACAAACGGAATAGAAGCTGTAATTAGATGTTCAGCAGAAGCCCGTGATATCATTTTCATGTTTGTCATTAGGCGTCAAGTAAATAGCATATAATATTCAGTGACAGAAAGAAGTGTATTCCTGAAAATAATTAAGAAACGGTAATTAGGGGATGTGTGGTTACACCCACCATTAGATTATATGTATATATGTCCGTCAGTTAAAAGATAATATGATTTACATTTGTCGGTAACACATTTCTCATATATTTTTCATGTACCGGAACTTGCAGGTGCGTGAGTTATGCGCTTCCGGTTTTGGGAGACTTTTGTTTTGGTTCGTGAGTGGAGTGATATTTTGGTTTGGTAAGATACTGTGTGAATATCTACTATATACCTTGTTGAATGGAAGATAGTTTGTAACACAGTTAACACAAAAACAGATGTAGGAAAGAGACAGGAACGCGATAAGTCAGTGTTTCTTCAATTCAGGATATTCGTATTCACTGTACCTCGGTTTTCGTGCATTATTAGCCATGGTCTAGCTAGGTTTGTTTTCTTTGAAACTTTATGAAATAGCATATCACGAATGATGTAACTAAACCGAGGATCATTATGTATTTATTTTTAAAGGAATGTAATATTTCTTCCAAGAACGTTTAGAAGCATTATTATGTGCTGATGTCATACAGAATGAAATAATAAATAATAATATTCTGAATCGTGTGAATAGGCTGAAGAAAATATAACTAAATTTGGAATCATGGCCCTTTGTATGATGTTTCCCAAACTTATTTTACGGGGTGGTGAATAAACCTGATTATCTAGATAGGTCATTGAAGCAACCCAAATGGAGCCAAGATTGTTTGTTTAAAACTGCATGAAAAATTTGTAAATTGAAAACTGATATAGCATCAGATTCTGTATTACCCAGGTAGTTGTTGTGGAAGTCAATCTGGATACAAATCGCAAACTCATCTTGTCCATATCAGTGTATTTCATTAATTAAACAGTATCATGTTAAAATGTGATGAAAACATATCAGGTATGGATACCAGTCAAAATGGAACAGCCGTTTCATTGGTCCGTTTTCACTAAGAGTGGTCAGTTTTGACCAGAAAAGATGGGCTGTTATGACCAAATAGGCTGGTCTGTTATGACCAAATAGGCTGGTCTGTTTTGGCGGGCACCCAGCATGCCCACCCTGTCTGTTAAAATTAGGGGAATCAACCAGATTTTTCGCATTATTCTGAATTATATTTTGCAGCATAGGCATAGGATCATCATTTAAACCCAACAAATCCAAACTGACAAAGTCATAATTTATTGCCATTTAGAATGGTCATTGACAGTTTTGATTACGCTCAAAGTGATGGTGTGTGAGTGTGCGTGATATAATCATGATAATAGAAGTTTAAAAAGATATGCCAGGAACAACCTACTGCATAGCATCTGCTTATCAACAAACAATAAGGGTCAATTTCCAGATGTTAATCATTTCCATGACAATGTTGTATATGGGTGTGAGTTTCAGTTGGATATGTCACTCATACCACTTCTACTTGAATCCGATAGGTAGGTTAATAGAAACAGATGCATATGAGACCACTTTTGGAAGAAATTTGTCACTGATGTGATAACATTTCAGTCTTGTTTCCCGAAAGTGGAAGTAAGGATATATATCATTATTTGTGAAATTATGCAGTTTCCGATATTTGTCATAAATGTCATAATAATGATAAGATGTGAGACAACAGTTGACATGCAGGAGTATCATGAGAGAGTGAGTGAGTATGGTTTTACGCCGCTTTCTGCAATATTCTATCAATATCACGGCAGGGGACAACAGAAATGAGGAGCATCATGAGAGAATATGCATATGCAAATAATCAACATATTGTGCGCACATTAGTAGTTCTGTAAATTGTAAGATACCCCAGAAGTAGAGATCCAGGAATATTGAAAATCAGAGTATACTGTGTGAGGAATTTTCTGTGAAAACCACAGGACATTTTATTAGATATTTTTGAAAATGTGACTGTGAATAACAAAATAAACATCAAAGATGGTAAAGATTTCATTCATCACAAAATTCTGACTGATCATGCAGGTTCTTCACTGAACTGTGCCCAGCATTGTTCCTGTATTTGGCATCATGTTTATATCGGGGGCACGGGTGGCCCAGTCGTCTAAGGCGCCGCGATTCGCTGTGCAGAGTTGCGTCCCTTGGGCACGCCAGAAACCTATGATTGTGGGTTCGAATCCCGGTTCGCCCCGATTATGTTTCTAGGTTTGTCAGCACCATACCCGTGCTCGTGGGTTTCACCGAAGTGGTAAATGTCTGAGACCTGCATCACTTCGGGCTTTCCTCCCACATTAAGCTGACACGCCGCGATATAACTGGAATACTGTTAAAAGCGGCGTAAAACCCAACTCACTCACTCACTCATGTTTATATCTAATCAGATATCACCTTGCTTTTACAGTGCACATGAACGCTTGTAAGTTCTTATTATGTACCTGTTCTAAACTGTTTCTTTCTCTCCCTGTTTATTATTCTCACACTGCATGTTCTGTGCTGAGAATGAGAGGATTAGGTTTGGTACAGGGCTCCAGATAATATATTTAGCCATTGTACTAGTATTTACATGCTTTGTCACCAACTTTGGGTATTCATAGTTTTCTTTGGGTATTTAATAGATTTTTACTCTCTTGGGTCCAGCCTATTGGGTCTTTAAACCATGGGTGGCCCATGGTGGCATGGGTGGCCCAGTCATCTAAGGCGCAGCGATTCGCTGTGCAGAGTTGCATCCCTTGGGCATGCCAGAAACCTATGATCGTGGGTTCGAATCCAGGTTCGCTCCGATTATGTTCCTAGGTTTGTCAGCACCATACCCGTGCTCGTGGGTTTCACCGAAGTGGTAAATGTCTGAGATCTGCATCACTTCGGGCTTTCCTCCCACATTAAGCTGACACGTCGCAATATAACTGGAATACTGTTAAAAGCAGCTTTAAAAGAGTTTAACCCAACTCAGTCAGTCAGTCACTCACTCACTCACTCACTCACTCACTCACTCACTCACTCACTCACTCACTCACTCACTCACTCACTCACTCACTCACTCACTCACTCACTCACTCACTCACTCACTCACTCACTCACTCACTCACTCACTCACTCACTCACTCACTCACTCACTCACTCACTCACTCACTCACTCACTCACTCACTCACTCACTCACTCACTCACTCACTCACTCACTCACTCACTCACTCACTCACTCACTCACTCACTCACTCACTCACTCACTCACTCACTCACTCACTCACTCACTCACTCACTCACTCACTCACTCACTCACTCACTCACTCACTCACTCACTCACTCACTCACTCACTCACTCACTCACTCACTCACTCACTCACTCACTCACTCACTCACTCACTCACTCACTCACTCACTCACTCACTCACTCACTCACTCACTCACTCACTCACTCACTCACTCACTCACTCACTCACTCACTCACTCACTCACTCACTCACTCACTCACTCACTCACTCACTCACTCACTCACTCACTCACTCACTCACTCACTCACTCACTCACTCACTCACTCACTCACTCACTCACTCACTCACTCACTCACTCACTCACTCACTCACTCACTCACTCACTCACTCACTCACTCACTCACTCACTCACTCACTCACTCACTCACTCACTCACTCACTCACTCACTCACTCACTCACTCACTCACTCACTCACTCACTCACTCACTCACTCACTCACTCACTCACTCACTCACTCACTCACTCACTCACTCACTCACTCACTCACTCACTCACTCACTCACTCACTCACTCACTCACTCACTCACTCACTCACTCACTCACTCACTCACTCACTCACTCACTCACTCACTTACTTACTTACTTTAACCAGTGAGTGAACCTTTTTGGAATGCTGTTTCAGGTGACTTCTAATTTGGATCTGTTCATGTGATGCTCTAAGTGTGTCATAGCTCTTAACAGTGGTACTTATATAAGTTACAATATGCGAGATATAGCATGTCTTTGCATTATCCCCTACATAGAGTTCATGTAGAAGTAAAAGGACTGCATTCAATCAGTGTATAACAATCTGTAAAGAAATACAGGTACACAACCTGAAAATGCTACGTTGGGTAATTTACACAGTGTCATTATCATGATTATAATATTTTTATTTTTTTATTTTTTTTATTTATTTGTATTCAAGAAACTCAAGTCAGTTGTACGCAAATACACAGCTTATCTGGAGCCCATGTTGTACATTGCAAGAAATAAATTATAATTCTCAATCGGTGCCAGAGCACTTTTAATCTGATAAATAAGCATCTAAATAGCTCACAATGACTGAAGGTGCAAGGGAGGTTATCAGAATGTTTATAGTTTTAACTGTTTTCTGTTGTGTGTATGTGCTTGGTCACATGTGGCATATACTCTGAAACTAGTAAATGGCTATATATCTGTATACATAGGAGGGTGCCTGATACCACAATAAGCTACTGTTATATTTATGAAATTAAAATATTTTCAGAAAATGTGTAAAAAGGTCAAACTGATATTTCTGATCAAATTGTGAAAAAAGACCTTCCCAGAAAGCACAAGGGCCACAAAGCTGTAACTTTGATGTGACATGTCCGAAGGCAATTATAGTTTTAAGAAACATCGGTACCCTGTGAAAATCTGGGTTAGAATGGGTCTTCAGCAACCCATGCTTGCCGTAAGAGGTGACTAATGGGATCGGGTGACCAGGCTCGCTGACTTGGTTGATGCATGTCATCGTATCACAGTTGCGTAGACCAATGCTCATGATGTCAACCACTGGATTGTCTGGTCCAGACTTGATTATTAACGGACCTCCATCATATAGCTGGAATATTGCTGAGTGCGTCTTTAAAACAACAAACAAACAAACCAACAGAAACCAGGGAGTTCCACTGAATCTGGATGTATGGAAGGATGATAAATGTAGGTAATATTTATTGTTGCATCAGGAAACTTAGGATATATATATGTATATATCACCCCTATTACTGACATTAAAATTTGAAATTAAAAATATATTGCTTGATCAAATGGTTTAGATTAGTTTTCTTGCTGCAGAGAAATGAATTGTGCAATTTATTATGACTATATCATGTATATGAAGTTTCAATGTTGTTATCTATAAGAGTATCTACATCTCAGAAACTGGCTAAAAAGATGCTATGAAACACATGTTATGAAACATGTCTTGAAAGTCATTTAGCATGTTTACCATAAGATTGTTTCTGTGAAAAGAACATTGATACTGTCCTCCCACATCAACAGACTGGTGCACAGCTAAGCGATATCAAAGACACAAACTCCCCACTCTCCACCAGCCTCTGAATACCTCGAATATTGAAAATATCATGACATATAATCTTGTGATAATATACACAACCTTCAAATTTCAGCACACGTTTACATGGATGTATCCATTGACAGTACCTGGTGATAGCTGTAAACTGATCATTGTTGACGCTATACTATTAACTAGGGCTTTAACTCTTTCAACACCTAGGCCGGTTATCCGGCCAAGAAGCATCGAGTCCCCAGACACCGCAGGCCAGTTATCCGGCCAAGCCGTAGTAACGTCAAAATAGTACTATATTTTTATAGACCTACCTGTAATATCATTCATTTATTAAATCTATCACATTTCACAGTGTCTGAAATACATATTCCATTTCAATTTAACATTTTTTATCGTTAAATTAAAAAATTATTCACTATTTCCCGCGATGTTATTGAAAATAAAATTCTCGGACACACATTTCGACAACCGGTCCACATCGAACTCGTCAAAGAGGAAAATAAAGACGTTTTAAACAAATCTTTAAATATATTATACAAAGTAATATATAAAATCAACAAAAATATAACTAAAAGTAATCAAACTTACATCTAAGTTATTATTTTCATCTTTTCGTGCGATCGCGTGTAATGTAAGTCAAATGACATCTCGGCTTTCGTCGCCTTGAATTCTCGGCTCGGACACGATGTTTAATGCAAAAATATATGCATGAAAAATCTTTGTCACAGCTCGTAACCTAGCACGATACATTCACGAAGTTCCATATTTTTAATATATATCGTGATTTCCTGCTCAAAACGTTCAGAATAACACGATTTAACAAAATACTTTCGCAAACTTCTGTAATTTATCGAACACGAGCTTGGTATCACAGCTGTAATTTGATTGGCTGCCATAGGTCACGTGCTCAAAATTGACCAATCACGAAACTTGTAGCAGATTTCAGCAAGAAAGCGTCATTAGAAACCAATTTTAATCCAATGAAATCGCTTGTTATTACTACGGAAAAAAACCAGTCGATGTTACGAGCATGTAGATGAAGGAATAAGCTTTCCAGCGATGTGTCATATGCCATTCTTCGACGAAACGTGTTATTCATACGAAACCTCGAAAACGGGGGTATTTCTTCATTTTACTGAGCGGACAGTCGCTGTTATCGGGAAATGGATGATGACAGAGACTATTTATAATTCTTTTTAAAATGATTTTCCAATAACGTAAACAATGAAAATAAAATAGAAATAGGTACGTGGATATTATGAAATCATATATTTGCCGAAAATCGTCAAGTTTTCGCTTCCTTGGTCCTTAATCTGGATGTTAACAACGTGTTAGCGTACATTTTTTATTTACAACAAATTTAATTAAGTTGTAAATGCATTATTTTAAATAATGTGAAAAACATAACTTTCATATTTATAAACCATAGGATCAGACCTTTTAAATGGTGTATAACATGTAGTAGCAAATATATTTTACAGCAGGTATTTTCTATGATAAATGTTGGCTTCATCTATCACACAAGAGCCTCTGGGAACTCGGTGTCCCAGCAGTAAACACTTCTGGTTGACTGGTGTTGAAAGAGTTAACGATTCACGATACCTATGAAGTCATCGATGCTAAGGAACAGATGATACTTGAATTGTCAGATTGTGAGATTGTGATAGGCTGTAAATAGAACAGAAACTGATAGAGTTACCTCCCATGAATTGTCAGTTTGTGAGATTGTGATAGGCTATAAATAGAACAGAAACTGATAGTCCCCTTCCATGAATTGTCAGTTTGTGAGATTGTGATAGGCTATAAATAGAACATAAACTGATAGAGTTACCTCCCATGAATTGTCAGTTTGTGAGATTGTGATAGGCTATAAATAGAACAGAAACTGATAGAGTCCCCTTCCATGAATTGTCAGTTTGTGAGATTGTGATAGGCTATAAATAGAACATAAACTGATAGAGTTACCTCCCATGAATTGTCAGTTTGTGAGATTGTGATAGGCTGTAAATAGAACAGAAACTGATAGAGTTACCTCCCATGAATTGTCAGTTTGTAAGATTGTGATAGGCTGTAAATAGAACAGAAACTGATAGAGTTACCTCTCATGAATTGTCTGTTTGTGAGATTGTGATAGGCTGTAAATAGAACAGAAACTGATAGCGTTACCTCCCATGAATTGTCCGTTTGTGATCTTGTGATAGGCTGTAAATAGAACAGAAACTGATAGAGTCACCTCCCATGAATTGTCAGTTTGTGATCTTGTGATAGGCTGTAAATAGAACAGAAACTGATAGAGTCACCTCCCATGAATTGTCTGTTGGTGATCTTGTGATAGGCTGTAAATAGAACAGAAACTGATAGAGTTACCTCTCATGAATTGTCTGTTTGTGAGATTGTGATAGGCTGTAAATAGAACAGAAACTGATAGCGTTACCTCCCATGAATTGTCAGTTTGTGATCTTGTGATAGGCTGTAAATAGAACAGAAACTGATAGAGTCACCTCCCATGAATTGTCAGTTTGTGAGATTGTGATAGGCTATAAATAGAACAGAAACTGATAGAGTTTCCTCCCATGAATTGTCAGTTTGTGATCTTGTGATAGGCTGTAAATAGAACAGAAACTGATAGAGTCACCTCCCATGAATTGTCAGTTTGTGAGATTGTGATAGGCTATAAATAGAACAGAAACTGATAGAGTTTCCTCCCATGAATTGTCAGTTTGTGATCTTGTGATAGGCTGTAAATAGAACAGAAACTGATAGAGTCACCTCCCATGAATTGTCAGTTTGTGAGATTGTGATAGGCTATAAATAGAACAGAAACTGATAGAGTTTCCTCCCATGAATTGTCAGTTTGTGATCTTGTGATAGGCTGTAAATAGAACAGAAACTGATAGAGTCACCTCCCATGAATTGTCAGTTTGTGATCTTGTGATAGGCTATAGATAGAACAGAAACTGATAGAGTCACCTCCCATGAATTGTCAGTTTGTGATCTTGTGATAGGCTATAAATAGAACAGAAACTGATAGAGTTGCCTCCCATGAATTGTCTGTTTGTGAGATTGTGATAGGCTATTTTATATAGAAAAGAAACTGATAGAGTTACTTCCCATGAATTGTCTTTGAGATTGTGATAGGCTATAAATAGAACATAAACTGATAGAGTTACCTCCCATGAATTGTCAGTTTGTAATCTTGTGATAGGCTATAGATAGAACAGAAACTGATAGAGTTACCTCCCATGAATTGTCAGTTTGTAATCTTGTGATAGGCTATAGATAGAACAGAAACTGATAGCGTCACCTCCCATGAATTGTCAGTTTGTTATCTTGTGATAGGCTATAGATAGAACAGAAACTGATAGAGTTACCTCCCATGAATTGTCAGTTTGTGATCTTGTGATAGGCTGTAAATAGAACAGAAACTGATAGAGTTGCCTCCCATGAATTGTCTGTTTGTGATCTTGTGATAGGCTATTTTATATAGAAAAGAAACTGATAGAGGTACCTGCCGACAAGGCAGAAATAGCCTAGCACAACTTGAAAACATGGCCGAACAATAGGACGTGGTGATAGAGGACGTGGTGATAGAGGACGTGCCTGCTATTAAGCTATTACCTTTAATAACCATCCCTTCATTTAAAACTGTTTTGTTGTTCGTCTTTAACAATTTCTTTTTAGATAATAAGTAAATGTATGAATCCAGAGGTTTTAAAGTTATATTTCAGTGATTTCATCCTTTTTTTCCTATTTGCTGGTGTATCGCGATACCAGTGGTATTGTCAGAATGTATTGTGAAACATATTGTATTGCAAGATACCAGGCGATACTCATCTTCCCGAGGCAAGTGAGTTAACTGACTATAAAAGTCCAGTTTCCACCCTTGCCGAACTAGGCTGGTATTATGGAGTTCTGTTTTGGCTGGACTATCGAGTCTATGCATAGTCCAATCAAAATCGCGCACCGAAATCGAAATCCGGTTCGTAAAGTGTCATGCAGATTTCGGTCGACTGCAGGATTTGCAAAGCATGTGCACCGCTAACTCGTTGTCAACAGATAATGTCTAAATCTTTTCATGCTTTTAATCAAGGTGCTCATGTGATTTGATGCACTTCGCGATGTAAGACTCGTTTTATCACAATATAGATCTTGATTATCAATCAGATCGTCTTGACTGGGCGCCACCGTTTTGTTTGAAGCAAATGCAAGTGATACGAGAGGTTGAATCAGATTGGTCAATAGGAGAGGTATAGAAAGGACATAACTCGTAATAGCCACTGGTGGCGCTACGATCGAGCCCAGGAATTCCAGCCTAGTTCGGCAAGGGTGGAAACTGGACTTTTAAAGTCAGTATACTCTCTCGGGAAGCTGGGTGATACTCAGTTATGTTATTAACTATGTTACTTCAAACATTTACAGCTGCATGTGACTGAGTACGCTCCCTCCCAATTCCTGTTCTGTAATACACTTCAATCTGGTTCCATTTTAGACATAATACTAACCTTTTCATTGACATGTTTTGTGTCTTAATGTGCCAATACCAGCTACCAATAAGCTTTTCACTTACGAAAATCTGTACATTATGAAAAAGGGGTGTTACTGTATTCGACATAATAAGCGCCCCACTCTACTTAGCGCCCGAGGCAATTAGCACCCCTTCCGATTGATCAATGTACACAAGACTTATTTATTCGCATATTATACGCACTCGTGTGTAATATGCACCCTTAATTATAGGGCAATTAAATTCTGGAAAAACATATCTGTCGTATATAAACATTTCAGGCTGTCAGCATAAACCACAGAATTTATCTTTCAACTCTGGTTTTTTTCACCAAAATAATATTCTAATAAGAGCCCCCTATTTCTAATTTTGAGAGCGCCCTGGGCGCTTATTATGTCGAATACGGTATATGTGTGTGTGTTTGTTGTTTAATGTCGCACTCAGCAATATTCCAACTATGTGATGTCAGCCTGTAAATGGCATATATTGTTACTCTCAATTTTCGATCACTGGATTGTCAGGTCCAAACTTGGTTATATACAGGCCACAATCATACAGCTGGATTATTGCAGAGAGTGGCGTTAAACAACACACAAACTATTAAATGATTCATCTCTTATACAGCTGATAGTGTGAAATGAATAATATTCCATTAATCAGGCTGAAAACAGAACAAAGTTATTTTGTCTAGGTTTATTAAACAGTTTTACAAAATTTCTGAGAAAAATCTGTTTTTAGTAAGAGTATTTTCAATCAACACATTAATTTGGTTCATTCTGAAAATATTTCTCAGTGTTAGAAATTAAGGAGTCTGGAGTCTTTGAGGTTTGTTGTTTTCAGTATTTGACTCTTGGTCATTTGGGTTAAGACAAGACCCCTTGACTTTCATGGTTAATTTCGATCAGTGTTAAAAGTAGGATAGGCTCAACTGTATTGATAATAACTATGCCTTTCTTAAATCAGCCAGTTTGAAGGACGTTTCATCTAACATGTCTGCTTTGTTGCTTCAGTGAGAAGACCTAAGATGAATCTTGGCACGGACAAGGGTTCAGAAGAAATAACGAAGGAAGAGTGGCTGGAGAAACTCCAGGACATCCACATCACCCGGGCAGACATGAACAAGCTCATCATGAACTATCTCGTTACAGGTACGCTCACTGCTGAAGTAGTGGTGGTGGGGTAGCCCAGTGGGTAAAGTGTTTGCTCGTCATGTCAAAGGCCTGGGTTTTGTTGGGGCGGTCGGAGAGCCTAGTGGTTAAAGCGTTCGCTCGTCACGCCGAAGACCCGGGTTCGATTCCCGACATGGGTACAATGTGTGAAGCCCATTTCTGGTGTCCCCTGCCATGATATTGCTTGAATATTGCTAAAAGCGGCGTAAAACCATACTCACTCACTGGGTTTTGTTCCCCACTTGTATAATGTGTGGAGTGCATTTCTAATCTATACTCGCTACCTCCCTCCCTCCCCCCTCCCCTCCCCTCCTCTCCCCTCCCCTCCCCTCTCCTCCCCTCACTCACTTTTAGAATAAGTTGTTGGTGCCTGAAGGTCACTCGAAATCGTGCCCATTCTTCTTGTCCCCACCATGACAGTGACAGAATATTTGGAAGAGCAATGCAATGCCATACTCACCTACTTCATCAGTTGAACCGCTGTAATATTTATAATCAATGACAAGGTATGGCACCATGTGCAGTTTTATTTGAAGGTGTATTATATGTTATTTACACTGTTTGCAACAAGCAACCTGTTCTATTTTATGAAAGAGAATACTGAACTGGCAGTCAAGGGGAGACAATGGAAGGTAATTACTGAAGGTGAAATTGTCTCCCCTGGAAGTGTTCAAGCTGTGGTAACAGTTACAAGCAATACGAAAGCATTGTTCCTTTTGTCCTAAATGTCATAAGCTGGATAGGATTATGAATGTGTCTTTATTCACCAGAGGGATTCAAGGAGGCAGCAGAGAAATTCCGTCTTGAATCGGGTATCCAGCCGTCTGTTGACCTGGACGAGTTAGACGATCGCATCAAGATCCGTGAAGCCATACAGAACGGACATGTCCATGAAGCAATCTCACTTGTCAACAACCTGTACCCGGAGTTGTTAGACAATGACAGATATCTTTACTTCAGGTTGCAGGTTAGTGATCACTAGGGCTGAACTCTGAGACAATGAGTCAATCAATGACATGCATCAATCAAGTCAGCGAGCCTGACCACCCGATCCCGTTAGTCGCCTCTTATGACAAGCATAGTTGCTTTTTACAGCAAGTGTGGGTTGCTGAAGACCTATTGTACCCCTGGTTCTTCACAGGTCACTGACCTAGAAAGTCTCCTGGCCAGAGTACTGATAACATATAGGAACATCCCCAAACCTTTTGAAATTCTATGAGGCCTTAGGATACCTTTCAACATTAGCCAAAGCAACTCGGGCTAGTGCTAATTTTTATCCCTTAGTGCAGCAGATTTGATTAGAGTAGATTCCCATCACCCCATGATTGTTGCCTTGTTGATGTGGATCAGGAGGTTGCAGTGTGTGATCTGGCTAATTGAATGAAGGCTAGGATCGTAGAAGTTGTAGGCGACCCGTGAAGATTCCGGGGTAGAATAGGTCTTCAGCAACCCATGCTTGCCATAAAAGGTGACTATGCTTGTCGTAAAAGGAGACTAACGGGATCGGGTGGTCAGGCTCGCTGACTTGGTTGATGCATGTCATCGATCCCAATTGCGTGGGTCGATGCTCATGATATTAATCACTGCATTGTCTGGTCCAGACTCGAATATTTACAGACCGCCGTCATATAGCTGGAATATTGCTGATTGCGGCGTTAAACAACAAACCAACCAACGAAGTTGTAGGCATCTTAACATGCTCAAGGTACATCGACCCTTTTAACAGAAGGAATATGTCGACAACAAGTGTATTTTACTGCCATATTATTTACCACAATTTGAAAACAGAGATTGAGATGTGTACCATTTGTTTGTTGCGTTAACATGCTTGTTACTAGTAAAGTTCCGGAAGACATTTATAGCATGTGTTTTAGTACATTATGCAATGTTGTTTACCAAGAAGGAGAGGGGCGGTCGGGTAGCTTGGTTGTTAAAGCGTTTTCTCATCACAACGAAGACCCGACATGTGTACAATGTGTGAAGCCCATTTCTGGTGTCCCCCGCCGTGATATTGCTGGAATATTGCCCAAAACGGCATAAAACCATACTCACTCACCCAAAGAACGAGCGATCGGCAAAATGTCTGTTGCCATGATGGGGGATATATTTTGTTCCAGTGGACACCGCAGGACATAGTTCATGCTGTGGTTTGACTTGCCCAGACTTGATTATCTATCTGCCACCATGATGTAGCTGGAATATTGCTGACTAGTGTAAAACATTTACTCAGGGTGGAAACAATGCCCCTTTAGATAATGTGAAATCTACTGACAACCAAGACACATCCACCCTCACAGCACCCACCCATTCATGTTTTGAAGAAGACATTAGCTAAGACTGAGATATTGTAAGTGAGCACACAGAAATAACTTGATCCATAGGTGGCTCCGGGAGGTGGCTCCAGACAGGGGATCAAGGGGATTCCGATTACCCACTTTTGAAAACCAAATGTAGTGTGTTGTAGGCAGTAAAATTATCTGAGAGGATTTTGATATTTTGGATCCATCCTTTAAAATGCTGGATCAAGCCTTGTGATCACATTGAAGTGAAACTGCCTATTGTTTGGTTTATATCTCTCTAAAATCTACTGAAAATGATGCCAAGTCCGGGCTAGTATACACCAAACTTGCAAAGTGTTCAGCACAGACTGTGACTCTACTCTGTACTGCCAACAGCAACAGAAGCTGATTGAGCTGGTGAGACAGAAGGATGTGGAGGGGGCCCTGGAGTACGCCCAGACCCACCTGGCAGAGAGAGTCGAGGAGAACCCGGAGGTGTTGTCGGAGCTGGAGAGGACACTGGCGCTGCTGGCCTTTGAGGACCCCGAGAACTCACCCTTTGGCGAACTGCTCCACCCATCCCAGAGACAGAAGGTGAAATAGCTTCATCCATTTGGGACCTTGGTTAATTTAGGTCCTGACTGGGGACCAGTCTTTGTCACAAGAAGCAACTTGGTGACTTGATTGATTTCATGCTAACATACCCTTATGGCATGGGCTTTTGCTCATGATATTGGCCATTGGTTTGCCATTGGTTTGCCATTGGTTGGCTTTAGAGGCCACTGTTATATAGCTGGAATATTGCTGACCGCAATGTAAAAGATTCAAAACAGTTGCTGCATGGAGACAGTAATATCTGAACATTCCTTTTAAAATGTTTCAAGACATAGCTGGAATACTGCTGGACCGCCTCCATGGTCTTGTGGTAGAGCGTCCGCTAGGAGAGCGGAAGGTCAGGGGTTCAATCCCCAGTCTCGTCATACCAAAAGACATTAAAAGATGGTACTTGTTGTTACCCTGCTTGGTGCTCGGCATTAAGGGGCTAAAACAAGGACTAGTTGGCTCGGTGTCAGTATACTGTGTCTGAGTGGGGTTCTCATATTAAACTGTGGCATAGTATCTCATTCACCTAGAACTATAAAATCGGCATTAGTCCGGACTAGTACAAGCAGCCACACAAACACACATGTGCATGCATGTTGCTATATAAGTGCAATAATCTTGGACGCGATGTTAAACCCCATTTCACCTCACCTCACCTCACCTCACCTCACCTCACCTCACCTCACCTCACCTCACCTCACCTGGAATACTGCTGACTGTAGCATAGAACAACATTCACCCAATCTGGTTAGATGTTGTCATTTCCATCCCAGAGTTTTATTGACTGGTGTGATTGCCGTGATTGTGTTTTATGGAAATTTGAGCATTCATTATATTTTTTACTTATCCTGCATTACTCCTTAATGCATTCACTTAAGCAGTGAATGCATTAAGGAGTAATGCAGGATAAGTATACAAATGTAAAAAATATTTAGATTTGACTAAATTTGAGCATCATCATGTCATCATAAACATTCCTTGTCTATAACATTTTATCCTATTAACAATTTGCAATTTAAACCAGGTTGCCAGTGAACTAAATGCTGCCATCCTTGAATCCGATTCCACTCCCAGACTTGCCAACCTCTTGAAACTGTTGCTATGGGCACAAGAAGAACTCGACAAGAAGAAGGTGAAATACCCCAAAATGACAGACATTGCAAAAGGAGTCATTGAAGATCCTAAATGACTATGCCGCCATTCTGTATATCAGACTTATTTATAATGGCAGTGCCAAATCTGATCTTTGTCCAGCAGAGGGCGAGGATGATCATTCACTTCTCACACTTTGGAATTCTACTTTCATGTATGTTGGATAAGAATCTTCACTGAATGTTGCATGTTCAAGGTTTGAGTTCTCCTGTGCTAGACTGTGAGCTGCAGATGGGCGGAGATGTGATGGTTGATGTAGCTTATGAGACTGTGTGCTTCTGGTAGCCTGAGAATTTCATCTCTTTTGGAGTTTGCTTTAAAGGTTATCGATTCCATCTTGCCAATAATCATGATAGGTCGACTGGGCTAATGTATCTACAGTGTCATTTTTTTATACAATCAATAATATCTGAAGAACAGCCTTGTTTTTGCGGTCAAAAGTCATACAAGTCATTGATATTTGACCCGCAGTTGTCACAAATAATCTCCAAAGACATCATCTCATCATTATACTGTTCATAAGAAGTTAAAGAACACCTGACTCTTTCATATTACTGTAGTTTATCTGTCATGCCATGGGGGCGGTCGGGTAGCCTAGTGGTTAAAGCGTTCGCTTGCCACGCTGACATGGGTACAATGTATGAAGCCCATTTCTGGTGTCCCCCGCCATGATATTGCTGGAATATTGCTAAAAGCGGCTTAAACCATACTCACTCACTGTCATGCCATGACAGATCAGTTACAGTGGTATGAAAGAATCCGATGGCCCTTAACTTTTTTTAAGTAGTATATGGGAAAACGTGTTGGAGAGTCCAGCAAAGCAGCAAACCAAAGTGCTGACTGAACATTTTTTTACTTATATACATCTCCTCTCCGATTTGAAAATGTATGGATGCCACACACACATTTACCATGGTATCAGCAGATGACTTCAGTCCCTGTAGAACCCATTGTCTAGCTATGTTATCATGATGATGTGGTCTGTTGTGCTGGTGTTTTTAACCTAATGTAATCTTAATGTAGTCATCGGTTTTGTAACGTGGTGAGAGAAAAATAGGAATGCCACAATAAGCTACAAGTTTGTAATCATGGTTATTGAGGAAATGGGGGGGGGGGGGGGGGGTGGCTACATGTTTACCCCGAGTTATGTGCACAGATGAAGGTGATCAGGACTTTGCAGGGACATGATTTATATGTGTAAATGGTGTAAATGGTAGGTTTTTGGGGCGTAATGAACTGAATGTTTTTTTAAACCCAGGCACCATTCAACTAGGATCTGGCGACTGTGCTTGTAATAAGAGGCAACTAACGGGATCGAGTAGTCACACTCACTGACTTGGTTGATGCATGTCTTCGTATCCCAGTAAAAGGCGACTATGGTTGTCGTAAGAGGCGACTAACGGGATCGGGTGGTCAGGCTCTCTGACTTGGTCGATGCATATCATCGTATCCCAGTTGAGTGGATTGATGCTCATGATGTCAATCACTTGATTGTCTGGTCCAGACTCGACTATTTATAGAGCGTCATCTTATAGCTGGAATATTGCTGAGTGCGGCGTCAACAACAAACAAACATTGTATCCCAGTGATGTAGATTGATGCTCACAATGTCAATCACTGGGTTATTTACAGACCGCTGTCATATAGCTGGAACATTGCTGCGTTCAGCGTTAAACATACAAACAACTCATATTCTATAGACCCGCTACAGATTTGTAATGGCTATTTTCATTTAAATATGTTTTCTACCATGTAGGGTAATCCAAAGTGCGCCAAAAATAAATTTGCATCATGGTGATGGAGGTGGAGTTTTGTCTGAGATGTTGTGAGATACAGATTGACAATACCACTGGTATTACAGGTGGCACTGTTACTTCCTGTTCTATTTATATCCCATTTCACAAACTGACGAATCAAGTATCATCTGTATCGAAGACATTGTAGACATTGGTGAATAGTTACAACCCTAATGTTGACTTTACATCGAAACTAATGACATCATAACTTGTATTGGTTTATTAACCGCTGCTCATTATGCTGAGTGATCGGGTAACTAGATATTATGTGTAAGATAACAATACTTCCAGTTTTCTCTGGAATTTTCCAAGGGACAAGTGGCTTTAAAACAGTTCATGTTTTGTTCAGAATATTCATATTACCATACTCTACGTAATAAGCGCCCAGGGCGCTCTCAAAATTAGAAATAGGGGCCTCATATTAGAATGTTATTTTGGTGAAAAAAACAGAGTTGAAAGATAAATTTTGTGGTTTATGCTGACAGCCTGAAATGTTTATGTACGACAGATATTTTTTTCCAGAATTAAATGCCTATAATTAAGTGTGCATATAACACATGAGTGCGTATTATACGCAAATCAATAAGTCTTATGTACATTGATCAATCTTAAGGGGTGCTAATTGGGATTGTTCACTAGCCAATATCTTAGAAAATGTCGCCATGGGCACTTATTAGAGCGGGGCGCTTATTATGTCCAATACGGTAATCAACAATACTGAAAGCAAGTTAGAATCAGCCCGGTTATATCAAAACTATTGAGTTTCCTTACTATATATCTTGAAAGAGTAAATCTTTGAAAATGTCCACTTTTGCGCAGGACTGAAATACAGGTTAACTATTATGACAATGTGTCTCTATATCAGTCACATAGTGGCACTGAACTTTTGACACACGACACACAACTACCCAGTTGTCAAGAGTATGGTTAAAGGTAGTTCATGTTTGTGTATGGTATTAACTGAAGAACTGCATAGCGTATACATTAAAAGTTTCCCAGAAATGTACACAGCTGGGTAGCACTGAGATACAACTGACGCTAAAAAATTCATTATTACCTTCAAACCCTATGTCAGTGCAGATTCATGACATTTTTATGGTTGGTCAGGCTGGCTGACTTGGTTGATGCATGTCATTGTATCCCAATTGAGTGGATCGATGCTCATGATGTCAAACACTGGATTGTCTGGTCCAGACTCTATTATTTATAGACCGCCGTCATATAGATGGAATATTGCTGAGTGCGGCATAAAACAACAAACATTATTATATGTTAAGGTGACTATGCTTGTCGTAAAAGGCGACTAACGGTTTGGGTGGTCAGGCTCGCTGACTTGGTTGATGCATGTCATCGATCCCAATTGCGTGGATCGATGCTCATGATATTAATCACTGGATTGTCTGGTCCAGACTCGATTATTTACAGACCGCTGTCATATAGCTGGAATATTGCTGAGTGCAGCGTTAAACAACAAACATGATTAAATGTTAACTATAGTTTTCCTGGTCAGTTTATTCTTCAGAGAGGGCTCTTGCTGCTAGTATTTAATTGTCAGCAGATGTGTGTTGTGTATATACAAATACCATGGCCACCTGACATCATGATCCACATTGTAATTATGTACAAAGGAAGTATTATGTATATTTTAACATGTATAATAAATATATGTGTCACTTGAATAGGTTTTTGTCTTGTGGTTCCTTTCATTCATGCATAGGGGCGGTCGGGTAGCCTAGTGGTTAAAGCGTTAGCTCGTCACGCCGAAGACCCGGGTTCGATTCCCGACATGGGTACAATGTGTGAAGCCCATTTCTGGTGTCCCCCGCCGTGATATTGCTGGAATATTGCTAAAAGCGGCGTAAAAACATACTCACTCACTCACTCATTCATGCATATCAGGCTCTCTTTTTTCTGTGTGTCAAAACAAACTGCTGACTTGATGTTATCATGCCTTAAAACTTGGGGCATTGGTGTAGGTGGCCTTGTGGTTATAGCGTTTGCCCGTCATGTCAAACACCTGGTCGTTTTCCCACATGGGTACAATGTGTGAAGCCCATTTCTGGTGTCCCCTGGTGTGATATTGCAGGAATATTGCTAAAAGTGGTGTAAGACCATACTTCCTCACTTAAAACTGCCAAGTCGATCTCTACCTTTGCCAGATACTGAAGCAAATTTTTTGTAGATGAAGGCAAAGTCGCATGTTGCATGAGAAGTGTTACCTATGTTATCTCAGTGCTCATTCTGGTCAGAACACTCACTGGTTTCCTTCTTACTGTAACCAGGCCGTGGCTTGACTCATTGGCTAAAAACAATGCTGCCCTATGTATTCACCGGCCATGTAGGAGTGAGCGTGAATATGCTTTTAGCATATTCCAGCGAAATCATGACGGAGGACACCAGAAATGGGCTTCAGACATGGTACCCATGTGGGCAATCGAACCCAGGTCTTCAGCGTTATGACCAAACGCTTTAACCACTAGGCGACTCCACTGCCCCGCCATGTAGAAATGTAGCCTTTTCAAACATGTGAATGAAAACATCTGTCATTCTATTGTTTAAACACGCCATTATTTTCTTGGAATGGACTGTTGTTGGTCAACTATACATTATCTCAGAGACCATATACCGAGCCATGTACGTACGGGGTTCGATCCCCGGCCGTGTCATACCAAAAGTCATTAAAAGATGGTACTTGTTGCTACCCTGTCTGGCGCTACCCTGTCTGGCGCTCGGCATTAAGGGGCTAAAACAAGGACTGGTTGGCTCGGAGTCAGTATTCTGTGTCTGAGTGGGGTATTCATGTTAAACTGCGGCATGGTATCTCAGTGGGCTAGCACTATAAATCGGCATCAATCCGGACTAGTACAAGCAGCCACACACACAAACACACGTGCATGCACACGTCGCTATATAAGTGCAATAATCTTGGACGCGACGTTAAACCCAATTTCACCTCACCTCACCGAGCCATGTACCATGCATTGCAAATCTTAGCTTGCGACAGCTTTGTGCAGCGCAGAGAACATATTCTATCTGCATCACGCAAATGCGACGCGCACAGTATAAATACAGTTTACACAGAGTCCTTATCTTTTTCCAATATTGTCCACAAGAAAATGTTTTGTCAAAGTGTAAAAATAGGGATGTGTATTAAATTGGGAAATATCCTCGTAACTCTCCATTGCTTAGTGATGCCAATAGTGAGGCTCGGCATCCTTTATTTTTAAGAAATGGAGAGTTACTTGTACGTTCTCCTCCTCGTATTGACTTTGCCACGAAATGGGAAGGCGATATTGAAATAGGTTATTGGTCCATTTGTCCCATCAGATCAGGGTCAGGATAATACATAAGAGACTGTGAAATTGTATTTAAGTGTTTTGCAGAGAGATATTTTCTTCATTATTTTGAAAAGCCCTTTAATAGCTGAAATAATGTTCAAAATGGCTTTATCCCCAACTCACTCAGTCTTTTGATTTTGAATTATTTGTAAACTTAGCAAAACAAAACACAAGCTGTTACCAAAAGTCTTATAATGAAACAAAATGAGATGAGATTATTGCACACATATAGCGATGTTCATGCACTGCTTGTTTTAATCTGGTCTTATGTTGATTTCATGGTGCGAGCCCATTGTGATATCATGCCACAGTTTAATCTGGATACCCAACTCAGACATAGAATTCTGACTCCAAGCTGTCAGTACTTGTTTTATCCCCTTAATGTGAAGCACCAGGTAGAGTAACAACAAGTACCATCTTTCAACACATTTTTGGTATGAGAGGGATCAAACCATCGACCTGCTTTCAGTTTATTTTTTGCAAAGATTGTAACAAATCCTTCAAAAGTCCCAAATAACAATTTATTATTTTTTAGTACATGTATCATAAATATGTTCATGGTCATGTTGGATCACTGGGCTTTCTCCTTGAACACACTCTTCACTCTTCTGAGGCAGCTGGCCACCCTGGATAGCAAGCCCTAAAAGGTGACGATGCTTGTCATAAAAGGCGACTAACGGGATCATGTGGTCAGGCTCGCTGACTTGTTTGATGCATGTCATCGATCCCAACTGCGTGGATCGATGCTCATGATGTAAAACACTGGATTGTCTGGTCCAGACTCGATTATTAACAGACCGCCGTCATATAGCTGGAATATTGCTGAGTGCGGCGTTAAACAACAAACCAACCAACCAACCTTCAGGAAGGAGTGAGGTGGTTGGGCGGGTTCCTCATCAAACAGATCTGTATCTGTAAAGTCAGAGTCATCCACGATGAACTGACCAGCGATGGTGAGGGACACAGAAGGGACAGTGCTGGGGCGAAGGGTCTTGGGGATGGACAGGTCAGACAAGGGGGAAGGGCTGGACTCCAAACTGGGATTCTAGGAGTTGGGAGGAAATTGAAACAAAAATGAAGGTGTGGGAAGAACGTTGTGTAAGACATCAATGGGATTCTCTGTACAAAGGCAAAGATTTAGTTGTTAGTTAATGGGGAGATGCAGAAAATTTATTGTTGATCAAGGCAGTCAAGTACTCCTAGTAGGTCCCTGTTTGCATAAGTTGGCCCTCAAATGTAGAATTCTGTCTCAGCTCTACATGTTTTTAGG